CAGGTTAAAGACTACTCTCAGATTTCCCAGGCTCCTTATTGTCTGCTCATGTGGAATGTGGGAGGAGGCTGATTAGAAAGTCCAAACTCATGAATGGAATTGCTGACTATGGGTTTCACTGTAGAGCTGTCAGTTGGGCCAGTAATTGAGGAATCTCTGAGATCACTGTCTTTATATCTTCCTCTTGGAATGTTCGGATTCTTGGAAAAGGCCATGCAGATCTCCTGCCTGGAGGGTGAAGGCATTCCGAAAGCCAAGTGAGGGAAAAGCATTTGTCCCCCAGCTTGCCTGTTTTCAGCATAGTACTCTTGTCTCACCTGTGTTTGACGTGTGTTCCGCTCAGAGACCCCATTTTGTACATTCCAGAGACTATGTCTCCAGTCTTTTCCTAAGTGGGGAGTAGTGTTTGCCTGGCTTTATGAAAGAGAAAGATGATCTGGGAAAGTGAATATTTTTTTTTCCTCTAAGTTTATTTATTCATTTCTTGGGTGGGGAGAGAGAGAGAGAGAGAGAGAGAGAGAGAGAGAGAAAGAGAGAGAGAGAGAAAGAACATGCTTGAATATCTTGAACATCCTTTTTAAAAATTTTTTGTTTTTTTTTCAATTTTTATTTCTATTTTTTAATTTACTTTTAAAATTTCATTTTATTTTATACATTCAAAGGTCAGAATTTTTTAAATTTGACCATCCACTTTCAATTTTCCCTAATGTTTTTGTTTGCTCCATTTCCTGTTCTCTCTGTTATTATTGATTGAAGCTTGAACAAAAAATCCATGTGTTTGCTATATGATGTGTGCTGGAGAGAGACAGAGAGAGAGAGATAGAGAGGAAAAATAAGAAATCACCTCCCAGGTGGATTGGGTATGCCACAATCCCTTTTCCATTCTCCTTTTGGGATTTTGGGCATGCACACGCACAGACACACACACAGAGCATGATTTTCAAGCCACAGGTTCAGGACTCAAACCATACAGCTGGCCATGTAGGATCTATCTGCCTCAACCTCTGTACCACCTGCCGGCTCTGAAAAGTAATTTAAACAAATCTCTTTAGAGTTAATTTAGGAGGATTTTGGGGAGGGAGTGAAAGAAGATGCATGACACAATTCAATCCTTAGCCCTCTTGTATCTTTTGATCTCGGACAGCAGTTTAACATTTGTTTCTTGCGATGGAGTCCTGATCTTTGCCCAGAGGCTTGGTATATGAAGTGGATATATGCAGAACTGCTGTGTTTAAAGAGGGGATGAGGGATTGACAGGTGGCATGGTGATTAAGGGTGCTGGATTCCCACATGGCTGACTGCGGTTTGAGTCTCGAACCTGGCAACTTGCTTTCTCACTTTTTCTCTCTCTTTTACTCTGTCCCTCTCTGGTCAAATTAAAATAAATAAAGTTAAATAAAATAATTATTAAAAAAAAGGGGGACAAGAGACCAGCAGACAGCATAGTGGTTACATTGCTGGACTCCCACATGGTTGACTGTGGTTCAAGTCCCAGACCTGGTGGCTTCAAACTCATGCCAGACACGTGTGTGTGTGTGTGTGTGTGTGTGTGTGTGTGTGTGTGTGCCCAAAATCCTAAGAGGAGAATGGAGGAGAAGGGATTGTGGCATGGCTATCTCCCGGAGGGTGATTTCTTGCTTCCTGTCTCTCTATCTCTCTCTGTCTCTCTGGCGAGCACATTCACCCTATAGCAAAAATCTCTCTAAAAAAAAAGTAAGGAGAGGATGAAAGTTTGTGGTCTTACTTTCTCAGTTTACCTTTGACTTCCTTTTACCCTTTCCTTACCACGAGAACCCACTGGAAAGCATAGTTTGTAAACCATGACTCAGGAGTTATTGAATATGATTTATCTCTCCAATAGGCATCAGACATCAGGTGAAACTTACAGCATTATGGAAGGAGCATTGATTTAGTCCTGTGGAAACTAATTTTATCCCAAATTGCAAAGGCAGGGAGAAAGAACTATTCTTAAGATTTTTAATGTGGAATAAAATCAGTTTGTTCTTGCGGCAAACTTTATAATTATAAAAATAGCTTTAAAATGCTATATTTTATTTGAAAGGAAAAGTGTAAAAACTTTACTAAGTGTTAAATACTATTTAACTGTACTTATACATTTGGATAACCAGGGATATTGCAAATTCCAAATTTACCTTCAGAAAGCTAAAATTCTGTTAGGTTGTCAGTAAGGTCATGACATATTTTTCTGTTTTTCTATGCAAAATATGTCATGACTTTTCCAATGACCCAATAGTTTATAGGTTGCTATTTGAGTCAATGTTTTATCCTTAGTTATGTACGTAAATATAAGAGTGAAAGGATGTCTATAGGGCCAGAAAACATACTTAGAGCTTATTTGTCAGGGAAGTCCTTATTAAATTTGTGCATGGTTTAGCTTAATGTTTATGTGCAGTTTAGCCATTAGAAACGTTTTTATCTCCTTCCTCCCCCAACTTCCCCTGGCACAGGCCATCAGTCACCTGATGAAATCATGCAAGAATGTGGCAGTATTTTTGTCCTGCACCTCTGTCAAAGGTCCAGCTGGGAGCTGGCATCAAGATTTGCAAACTTTGTCAGCTGAAATGCACTTTCATATGTTGCTAAGATGAACCAAGGCATTCTTGAATGTAATTTAGAAAAACAAAACAAAACAAAAATCAAACTTATGGACAGAAGCCAAAAAACCCTTTATTATAACAGTATGAGTCCAAAATGAAGGCAATGCAAGGAGCTCTGCAGAATCTCCCACCTGGAATCCAACCTCGTCCTGCCAATTGTTTGACATTAGTATCATTTCACAGAGGACTCAGACATTAGGCAAAAAAAGAGATATTGACAATTGTGCTACAGAAAATAATTAATCAGTTTCATTTAAGCATGAAATACCTTTAGAAAAGAGAGATATGACCCTAACTCATGTGAGAAATACCCAGCATTTTGATTGCTGTTGGATTGTTACAGGGAGCATTATCATGCTTTGAGTCTCTTAGAGACAGACTAAGAAGAGGACATGGGATGTCTTTGTTTCTTTAAAAAATTTTTTTTTTTTTTGTCTTTGGTGTTCTATAGGGCACATGCACTTGTCAGAGAGAGATATGGCCGGGGAGAACTCACCCCCCGGGGGGATAGCCATGCTGCAATTCCATCCCCTCCAGTCTCTCCCAGTATTTTGGACACACATGCACGTGCACCAAGTGTGATTTTCAAGTTGCCAGGTCCGAACTCGCACCATGCAATCAGCCATGTGAGATCTAGCGCCTTAACCTCCACCCACCTGCTGGCCCACCATGGGAATTCTGTAAGATGTCTAGTGAAGTACTAAGGGGTGATGAGTGGGTGCTTGGGGGAGAAGTATTTGTTCCACCTTTATAGGGTGTATAAACATTCTCTCTGTAGAGCTGTGACTTAGGAAAGTAAAATTGTGGGGAAGACTGGGTCTGCAACGTGTGCTTTGGAGACTGTGCAAGCAACATGAATGTTGCCTGTGAGCACATGATGTCTTCTTGGTTACATGTGACCCCATAGGGTGTGTGTGCCATGGCCTGAACTTGCTTCTTGATGACATCATGAAGCTGGCCTTACGCCAAAAGACTTTGAGACGAGCCCAAATGTTGTGAAACCTGCAGAAACCACTCATCACTGTTGTATTCCAGGAAAGGCCAGAGAAAAACATGTGAAGAATTAAATCAAGACACCGAAGCTGTGTTGTGAAACAGTTGGTCAGATTGGATTATCGGCTCTTTGATAATCTTTTGAGAGTTTACTGAAAACGAAGCAGCTCTTTAAGCAAATGACGTATTTGAGGGGTAGCTCCGAGTCCTTGGAGGGATTATCTTCCATGAGGACAGGTCCTGGTGCTGGGAAGGCTGGGGACAGTGATCTGAAATAGGCAGCCCAGCCAATTTTTTGTGAGTTGTCCTAGAGGAAGAAGCCTCTGCCCTGCTTCTCTGCTCAAACCTCTGCTTTCTTCTGCTCTCCTTCTCTTCCATCTTTCTTTCTCCGAATGTTCGTAGATATCTTCCACCCAACAGCCCACCTCATGGGGACCTTTCCTCATGGCTCCTGGAACCACATTTTATGTGGTTGATGGTGGAGGCAAAATGTAATGTGTGGAATTGCAAAGGTGTTCTGAAAGGTTGGCAGTTGCTATCTTACGTGTTGCTGTAGGAAGTGACTCACTCTATGTGAAGCAGTCCCTCCATGGGCCAGCATGGTCCTGGGGTTCTCTTGTCATGCATCCCTGTCGTGTCCTTTTCTCGGTTCTTTCCCCTCCCCCCTTTGCCTTCTTATTGTGACTTGTCCACTCTCTGATTTTCTCAGAGCCTTCCTAGAAACAGATTTATTTTGATTTCTCAAACACATGGGAGCCAAGGTATGAATGTCTAACAGAGTTGATGTTAACAGGGCAGAGGAATTCACACTTGCATTTTAACTGGTGACTTCACAAACTCCAATATGAAACTTGGCAGTGACATTCTAGGCAGTTTTTTTTCTTGGTAATTCCAAGTCTTTTGCACATGGAAGACTTCCTATTACCCAGGCAGGCGGTGGGCCTTAATATAGGGCACAGAAGCCCCTGAATACAATTCTAGCCTAGGACATGGAGGGTCAGGGAAGGTCTCTGGTTCAAAGGGGGAAATAAGGTAACAGCATCTTTTGAGGTAAAGTTAGGAAATAACGTGTAAAAATGCCAGTATCAACCACTCCTCTCTGCTATTGCTATTTCCCTGCACCTAGGCAAATACAGACCATGCAAATAGAGACCAGAAGTCATTGAGTTGGGAGTGATTTGCATGCGAAGAGAGATACAGGAATCCTTTTTTCAAAACCTGGGGTTTGGGGGTGTTTGCTGGTGGCTGAGCTTCTGTATTAATCCAGGGAAGGGGTTTCTGAGTCTCTGACCTCAGTAGGGTGATTTGGCCTGAGAGGCTGTATTACCTGCAGACGTGTCCCAGCGCTTAGAGCAGGAGCTGAGTCTGAGCAGGACCCCTTCGAGGGAGATGCCCTCCTCGCTCATGCTGGTCTTCATGGTCATCTTCTTCTTGGAGTCGTTGGCTGCAATGTTGCAGAACGGCTTCATGGCTGCCGTGCTGTGCAGGGAGTGGGCACGGGGCCGGGCACTGCCCACGGGCGACATGATTGTGGCCTGCCTGGCTGCTTCCCGGCTCTGCGTGCATGGGACAGCCATTGTGAACAACCTCCTGGCCTCGTTTGTCCTGTGCTGCAATTTTCACTATTTCAATGTTCTCTGGGACTTCACCAACACCCTCATGTTCTGGCTCACTGCCTGGCTTGCGGTCTTCTACTGTGTGAAGATCTCGTCCTTCTCCCACCCCGTCTTTGTCTGGCTGAAGTGGAGGATTTCTCGGATGGTGCCCAAGCTGCTGCAGGGCTCCCTGGCCTTGAGTGTCCTGTCACTTATCTCGTCGATTACTACGAATACGATGTTTGCTGAGATAACTGCCTCTCAGGATTCCCAAGGAAACAACACCCTCGCTGTCACGTTGCGGACTTTCCATCAGCACTATTTTCTCTCCCATATGGTGGTAGTGGTGTCGATCCCATTCCTCCTGTTCCTGGTGTCCACCCTTTTGCTCATGTTCTCCCTGCGCCGGCACCTGGGGCAGATGAGGAACCGCAAGCCCGGGCCCTGTGACCCCAGCACCCAGGCTCACACCACGGCTCTGAAGTCACTGACCTTCTTCCTCATCTCTTATACCTCGTATTTCTTGTTTCTGATCATTTCCACGCTGAGACTCGCCATCTACAATCATTGGCACTGGGTCTGGGAAGCGGTGACCTACACGGGCCTCTCTCTACACTCTACCATCCTTGTGCTAAGCAGCCCCAAGCTGAGAAAGGCCCTGAAGGGGAGGCTATAGGACTTTGTGCTGCTGCTTAGAAGCTGTGGAAGGCTCTGGCAAAAGGATGAATTCTGCTCGCAAGCTGTCAGTATCCGTGACCCACAGCACTGTGAGGGACAATCCCACGAGTAGCTCTAAGAATGCATCAGGTCTAGGTACCGCCCTCCTCTTTTCATTTCCTCCCCTCCCTCCCAAACTCTTTCCATGGTCTACTAATTCTCTCTCCATCTCTCCATGCTCCTCCTCTACCCTCCATGGCTGCAAGTCTCTGGTCTGAGCCCTGATTCATCCTCCCAGGCCTCTCTGACTCTGTTCAAGCCACTGAGTGATAGTCTTTGAGCACCATTTTGGCCTGTACTCCCTTCACAGAGATGTGTAACCATCATTAGTCATCTCTGTGGGCAAACAAGAGTGGTTTTTGTTTTGTTTTTGCTAGAGGGAGTGTGCATACATCGGAAAGACCAAAACAGAGAGAGAGAAGCATACCTCATGGGGAATGGTGACTCCTCAATTCCTTCTCCATCTTTCTCCCTCCTTTGGAGACTTTGGCTACACATGCACATTCTCCAGGCAGCTTTCTCAAACCACCAGGTCTGGGACTTGAACCATGGGTTGGCCATATTAGATCTGGCTGCCCCATCCATTAGGCCACGGAGCTGGCCCTGATTTTTTTTTCCTCCTTTTTCCAATAGTGGAAATAGCATCCACTTTATGACACCCCCTGCCCGCCTCACCCCCTGCCCCGCCCCAGCACAGGAATGTGTCATCCACTTTCCCAAATGCCTTCCCTTCTACCTGTGCTTCCTTGGCCCACTGGAAATTCCTTCTCTACTTTCTCTACCAGTCTTTGCCCCATTTTTTTTTTTTTTTTTTGTACTCTACTCAAGATTGATTCCACTCACAGAGGTTCCAGTTTGTCCCATGGAAGGCTGGGGAAATGTTTGAATTTTCTGCTCCTCTGGGTTCTATCGATGACTTTGCTACACATTGAATTAAAAGGAATTGTCTGTTGTGGACATGCTTTTAGGTTTTGGCCAAGAGAAGATAAATAGAAGATAAAGGAGACTCTCCGCTGTCCGTAACTTTGATGCCCCGCCTCTTTCTCTCTGCTCACCCAGAAGGTGGATCCCCGATGCCCTTGTCTAGGCTGTTGGTCTCTGAACGAGGTGTTTGCAGCCCAGGGCTTGTGCGAGATGATCCTCGGGGTCTGGGGAGAAAGGTGTGACTAATTAATTTTGGTGTACTTTTATCTCCTCCTTTTGTTTCCCTATTTTGTGTATGTTGATGATATACACAATGTCAGTAAAGTAGTACATACACGATTAAAAATACATATGCATATGATGGTGTTTTATTGAGTTCAGGCTGCTGTAACAGATCCCGTAGACTGGGTGGCTTCAATGACAGATATTCGTTTCTCACACTTCTGGAGAAACTCTCGGGCCAGCATGGCTGGTTTCCGGTGAGGACACTGTTCTGGACCACACACGATGCCTTCTTGCTATGTCCTCACCTGGCACAGGGAGACCATCTGTCGTGTGCTGTTCTCATAAGGACACCCATCCTACTCTGGAAGCCCCCCACCCCATCTAATTACCTCTCAAAGTCTCAACTCCAAACCATCATGTTGGGGATTAGGGTTTCAAAATATGAGTGTTGGGAGGACGCACTCAGCCCACAGCAGGTGGGATGCGTTTGTATAATTGTTTCTACTGTTGGAGTTTACGGTAAGAAAGCATGGAAACAGTGACTGAAGAGACTGGGGGAAAAGCAGACATGGTTCGAACCAGCCAAAACTGGAGTACTAGGTGACAGGACAGAGCAGAGGTTGCATAGACTTTTTAAACAAATAATTGCATTTATGGTAAATTGTCCAACAAACCTGGGAAGCCATGGCCTCCAAACACTGTGCCTTCCAAGCTGGAGGCCGAGCTACTGCAGGAAGAGAGAGAGGTGATCAGACGAGAATAATGGAGTGGGGAGTTTTCTCCTGGGAGATGCTTAAGGTTTCAAAAAGAGGAGATTCTCAAATTGCTGGCAAGGAGCACAGGGGATCTCCCAGGGAGTCGAGAGAGGGTGAGGTAGAATAGAAGAACCTATGGGAAGCTAGTGCCAAGGCCAGACTTTACACTAATCCCATAGACCCCCAGGGCTTCCCTGTGAATTGTCCCACCTAAGGAGCACAGTTATTCTCATCACCAGTCATCAGGAGTTATTCTTTTTCATTTTTTTTTCAGAAACATGAAGGAGTTGATTTTTTTCTTTTTTGGCTAAAGGGCATGGGGGAGAAACACCCCCCAATGGGGTGTGGTCATGCTATTTTCCTTTCTCTCCCACTTCTCCATTCCATCAGGATTTTCTCCATCCCACCTGGGTACATGCACACATGCGCCCCGGGTATTTTTCTAACCACATTTGGGCCATCTGGGACCTGACTCCCTGTGCCCAGAACTTAACTGTTAGTCCAGTCTAGGACTGGACCTGAGCTCTGTTTTTCCACAGGGATGGTGATAACAAACAATGGGGATTGAGCCTTGAGGCTCAAACACAGAGGGATGGCTGTTAGCAGTAACGGCAGGAGTGTCTGATGTCTTCTCTGTTGTGCACACTCACAGGACTTTCTCCTGGACAGATTTTGGAACTTTGCTGAAGGTCTGTGGGTGGACAGGGGCTGGTGATGTGACCCTCATGTTCTGCCATATGGTCTCAGTCCTCTGGTTAGGCTGGGACTGGTGGGCTTCTCTAGGGTTCTTAACTGGTTGATGTTCTCAACTCTTTTCCTAAACCTTGGCTCATAAAAGCCCCGAAACATTTGATGGTGCAATCTTGACTAAAGATACAAGTCAAGGGGGCCAGCAGGTGGCGTGGGAGTTAAGGTACTAGATTCCCACATGCCTGACTACAGATCAAATCCCAGACCAAGCAGCTTGAACATCCTGAGAGGAGAATGGAGGAGAAGGGATTGCAGCATGACCTTTCCCCCACCGGGATAGGATTTCTCATTTTCCCTCTCTTTCTCTCTCGCTGGTGAGTGCATGTGCTCCATGGCAAAAACTTAAAAATAAATAAATAAATAAATAAATAAATAAATAAATAAATAAAGATACAGTCCAAGAATTCATACTGATTACCGGACTTTCTGTAATCTCTCTCCAACCTCCCTTTTCCACCATCCCCTTATGTGGATCCTCTGTTGTAGCAGAACCACCTAATCACTCCCGGAAATCACATTTCCACCTCCTTTACTGACACCATGTCTTCTTCTGACATACAAGACGGCATCTCTGTTGTCCCACAGTGATGGTGCTGCTGCTCCTGAACTATTCCGAGAATTTCTGGAATGGGAGTAGGATGCCATTTAGAACCACAAGCTGCCCCTGCCTTTCCTTGAGATCGAGGTCTGAGCTGAGAGTTTTCCACCTAGGGAACCTACCCGGATTCCTGTCCTACTACATTTATGATTACGTTTGTAAAGACTAGCTATGGAAGTCTAGAAACTCTTAGCCATGGAGTAGAATAGTGGTCACCAGGGGCTGCGATGGCTGGGAGGGAACGAGGATGGTGAGGTGTCGGTTAACAGTTACAAAATACAAGTAGCTAGGAGGAATGAGTTCCTGTGTTCCATAGAGCACTGAGGTGACTAGAGTTAACAATTACCTATTGTGTATTTCAAGGGAGTAGAAGAGAGAATTTTTGTTGGCTGTAAGGCATGTGTGCTCACCAGAGACAAAGAGTGAGAGAAAAAGTGAGAAAGCGTCCTAGGGGAGATGGCCACACTGCAATCCCTTTGCCTCCATTCTCCCCTAAGGATTCTGGGCACACATACACATGCTCCCAGTGTGTTTTTCAAATTGCTGGGTCTGAGACTTGAACTACATAGTCAGTCATGTGGGATCTAAACACCTTAACTGGTTTATCACCAGCTGGCTCAGAAGAGAGGATTTGAAGTGCTGCCAACACAAAGTAGCAACAAATGTCTGAGGCAATGATGAATGTGCAAATTTTCCTGATTTGATCAGAGCATTGAATTCATGCCCCCCAAAAGTCATACTGTGGGGCCAGCAGGTGGCGTGGTAGTTAAAGGTGCTGGAGTCCCATGAGGCTAACCACAGTTCAAGTCCTGGGCCTGGTGGCTTGTTTTCTCCCTTTCTCTTTTTCTCTCCCTCACTCTGTCTCTCTCTGGTCAAATTAAAAAATAATAATAATAAGTGGCGTTAAACAAATAAATAATTTTTAAATGATCACACTGTACCCCATAAATATATACAATGACTGTGTCCATTAGAAATAATAAATTAAAAAATGCTTAAAAAAATCCCAGACTTGGTTTATACCTTGGAAAATAAATCTGAATATGAAAAACCAAAGTGCCCTAAGCAAAAACCACAAATGAATGAAAGAGCCACCGTAAAACATATTGCATATTTAAACTCAAATGTTTATCCGGTCTTCTGTGTTAGCTTAATCTGCACAGGCTACATGGTGTGTGTTTGTGGTTTAGATTAGTGTGTAAAAGCACGTGGAAGGCAGGGCTCATGCACATCACTGTGGCTGCAGTACCTTTCCTAAGTCCTAACAGCATAAGAGAGGCTTCATTGTTGTTAAGTGAATCGAGGGTCTATTGCACATCTTTTTCTTTTTTCATCTCATGAGCTATCGAAGGTGCAGGAGGTGGATGGGAAAGTTCTGAGTGTTCCATATTGGGAGGTTTCTGGCTAGCCAAATTCTGGAGCTACAGGCCCAAAGTTTGCCCTATTTTTCCAAGTTCCAGTAGGAAACAGCCAGATGTCAGTCAGAGGAATGAGAGCAAGGAAGAGAGCAATTGGGAACTCTATGCCCCGGAAATTTGCATCTTCACAGAAAGGCAGTGTGAATGAGTTACCTTAGTTTGCCTTCTTTCCTTTACCCAGGAGCACAGTGGCCTAGGTGCGAAAGGAACAATTCTACCTGGAGATGCACTGGGAACTGGAAAGAGATTCCGAGTGTTTATTATTCTGTTCCCTCTTTGTGGGGGTTTTGTGCATGGACCTGGCAGGTTATGGTGGTGGCCAGGAGATGGGTGTACTATTAAAACTCCCTCTGTCTCGTGTTTATTAATATGGAGCCTTTGCAGTTGCTGCATTTGACCCAGAACAATTTCTACTTACCTCCCTCCCTGTGACACATGAACCTGCCTACACACATCTGGGCGTTGATTGTTTATTTATGTGTTTATTTACACATGACTCTTTGAAACTCTTTGCTATGGGTAATCTGGCTGTTGCTTACTCTACCCTTCTCTGGCTAAAGTAAGGGGCCCAGCATCTGGTGCCCTAGACCAGGAATCCTCAACCCCTGGATGGCAGACCAATGCTAATTTTCCAGGCCACATAGCAGGGGGTGGACAGTGGGTGAGCAAGCGAGGCTCCGTCTGTGTTTGTAGCCACTCCCTTAGCATTCTTATTACTTCTGGGTTCTGTCTGCTGTTGGATCAGTGACTATGTTGGATTCCCATGGGAGCCCAAACCCTGTTTTTGTGTGATTGTTTCATTGTATATTGTAATGTGGTTGTGGTGAAAGTGAGGTTCATAGTGGCTATGGTGTGCTTGGGTCACCCTGGGACTAACCCTCCCCTCTCTGTCCATGGCGGGATTGTCTTCCACAAGGCTCATCAATGGTGCCAGAAGGTTGGGGACCATTGCCCTAGACCTCTGGTGCCTCCCTGACGTTCTCCTGACATCTCCTTGAATTGTTTGTCACCCTGCAGGGAGGATATGATGGGATGGGTAGCTAATCAGTCATCATCACCATGCGTAGTTCTTATGCACATGGAGTGATCGATGGTTTCCAAGTATTGTATGTCGATGATCACATTTACCTGTGGAACATCATTTCTATAAGGAAGAAAGAGGAGTGCAAAGAGATTAAACGATCACTCTGAGGATACTTAGTGATCGGGGAAAGACTCCAAACCTGGCATTCCCACTTCAGTAAGGATGAAGACAGGCTGTGAGATGTGCTGTTGATCTTGGCAAAGATCATTGGTCTTCCAAAGATATAGCTATAACTTTAAGTAGGAGTGTTAATCTATAATTCAGTTTTTTTTTTATCTGTAAGATTATCTTTAATATCATCTTTCAATTTAAAAACTGAGAATCTAGGGACCAGCAGATATAATGGTTATGTTGCTGGATTCCCACATAGTCAACCATGGTTCGGGTCCTGGACCAGGAAGTTTCAAGCTCACACCGTGTGTGTGTGTGTGTGTGTGTGTGTGTGTGTGTGTGTGTATGCTCAAAATCCTGAGAGGAGAATGGAGGAGAAGGGATTGTGGAATGGCCATTCCCCGCTTGGGTGTGATTTCTCATTTTTTGGCTCTCTGTCTCTCTGGCAAGTGCATGCACCCTATAGCAATAAAAAAAAAATAAAGAATTTGCTCTAAAAACAAAACAAAACAAAACTGAGTGTCTAGGACAATCCCATGAATTAGAACAGATGATACTTTTCACATCTTACAGATGAACAAATTGAGGCACTGGAGGTTAACTCATGTAGCCCGACTCACCTCGTAGCCCCACAGGGAGGATGGTGCTCAGACCAAAGTATGTCCCGACTCCTGGCCAAGGGCTCTCTCTGCCACATCCTGTTGGTTTTATAGCCATCCTTGTGGGAGGAGGGAGGATCTTCTGTGAAATGTCATTTTAAAAGTCACTGTGTATGAGATATGCTTTAAAAAGTTTTCTAAATGTTGTTCACCTGATTGTACATAATCATCTCCTAGGTTCTATTTTGTGACAATGGTCACCACAAGTAGCGACCGTCAGTAGAGGTTTTGCTCAGTTTTCTCTCTGTCAAAGGGGTATCCTCATGGCACCTCATTTCATAGGGTCATTATGAGGACAAAGCACCATGGAAAGCACTTAGATCAATGTCCAGAACATAACAAGCCCCCCTAGCCATTCGGGTGTGAGTGCTGCCTCTCAGTTGGGGGCATGTCCTGTCATTGAGCTGCAGGCCAGTGTCCAATCCCATCTTAGGTGTCAGTTTGAAGAAGTATAGCTCCTGTGTAACGGGCACTAAATGCAAGGGTCTGATAAATCAACCTCACCAATGTTGACATGGCCAGAGAGAACAGAAGGGCAGGCAAATTTTAGGCAAGGTGGAACACTCTGAAAATTGAGCCTTAACAATATTTGCATCCATTCTGACTAGAAGAAACCTTGTCACCCTCCTCAGATAGTCTGTGTCCTCTATTCTGGCCTACCCTCTGCACTTGGGGCAGCTGGACAAGCAAACGTATCAGACAGGACCTTCCAGAACAACCCAACAGAAATAACTCTTGAAGCCTTGGGACTGATCTTGTCCACAGGAGATGAATGGAGATGACATGGTTCCAGGACCTCCAGGGACTGATAGGAAATCCGTCATCTCAGCTGTCATTTTATTCTTTGTGTGCCTGTTGGCAGTGGTGAGCAATGGCTTCATCACTTCAGCCCTGTGCATGGAATGGTTGCTACGGAGAACACTGTTGCCTTGTGATAAGTTATTGGTCAGCTTAGGAGCCTCTCGCTTTTGTCTGCAGTGGGTGGTGATGGGTAAGATTTTCTATATTTTGTTGAATCCAATGGCCTTCCCATACAACCCTATGCATCAGTTCTTCGCCTTCCAGTGGGACTTTCTGAATAGTCTCACCTTATGGTTCTCTACCTGGCTCAGTGTCTTCTACTGTGTGAAAATTGCAACCTTCACTCACCCTGCCTTCCTCTGGCTAAAGTGCAGGCTGTCTAAGTGGGTACCATGGATGCTGCTCAGCTCCTTGGGGGTCTCTAACTTGAACACCATTCTATTTTTCATAGGCAACTATGAAGTGTATCAGAACTATTTAAGGAGAGATCTGCAACCTTGGAATGCCACCGAGACTAGCGTGAGGAGCTTCTATGAGAGATTCTACTTCTTTTCTCTAAAAATGATTTCTTTTACAGTGCCCACTGTTGTCTTTATCATTTGCATGGCTTTGCTAACCATATCTCTGGGAAAACACTTGAAGAAGGCCTTCGTGACTATCTCAGGTTTTCGAGACCCCAGTGCTCAGGCCCACATCAAGGCTCTCCTGGCTCTCATCTCCTTTGCCATTCTCTTCATCTCCTCTTTCCTGTCACTGGTGATCCATGCTGCAGGTATGTTTCCAGTGTGGGAATTTCGATACTGGACATGGCAGGTAGTGAGCCATCTGTGCATGGCAGTTCACCCCATCAGTCTAATCTTCAGCAACCCCAAGTTGAAAGCTGTGCTGGAGAGAGGCTGTTCCTCAAGGTAGGGAGCAGCTTGAGTTGCAGTTGGTGAAAATCCTAAGATATCCTACTGTAGGAGGTATGAGCGCCATAGGACACAGCTTCTCTCTTTGCCATATTTGATGATTGGAAGAATAACTTCGATGAAATAGGATTCGAAGTGATGAAATATGAGCTAGTGTCGCTGGCTCAGCAAGAGTGTGGCTGAGAGGGCCATGTTCCCTGTGGAAACTGGCAGGCTCAGAGAATGAAGGAAACCTTTACTTTCCCTGTGATCGATTTCTTGGTGTTTAAAATGATCTTTCTGGGAGCTGGATGCAAGGATCCTCACACAACATGTGAAATTTTAACTGTTGACTCAGACTGGAGAAGAATTTTGGAACCTCAATTTCTTCTGCCTTCATCCTGCAAACTGCGTTTCGTCTCACTTCAGTTTTCCAGTGATCTGGAGTGAAGGTTGCTCTCCTCTCATAGAAGAATTTGCGACATCTGAATTGCCTACACAGAGCATCATGTTCTTGTCATGGAGGTGCAGCTGTGTGTGTTGTCTGGGATGCATATCGTCTTGACGAACGTCTTGATGAGGGCCCTCTGAGTTCTAGGAGTCTACCAGTGATTTTAGCCTGGTCTGTTAGTCAGTTTGGTAGATGTTAAGATCCTTGTATCCAGATGTAACTTTTTTTTTTTTTTT